TTTCCAGCTGGGGAGGAAAACGAGCTTCGGATAAACACGGTCGACCTAAACAAACATTTTCTAGTTGGGGCGGAAAAAGAAGTGATGATGATGGTTATGATAATGGAGAAATATTTGAACACCAGATGGATAAAAGGGAACTTAATGGGATTAAACAAGATAAAAACAATTATAGAAATAAAATGACCAAAGGAATTCATGCATTGTTTACTATTTTCTCCGACTGGTCAAGAGATCCAGAAGAAAAAAAAGGAATTCGATACTCTGGAATTAAGAGTATGAGGAGAAGTTACGATTTTTTTCCATGGGGTGGAAAACGATCTACCGGTGATGCTAAATAAATATGTTTTTATTGATAGTTGATGATAGGCGCGTTCAATTTTGTCAAATTTTACTATAAAAACAAAGATAATTTAATCCTAATCTTACTTAAGTGATGATAAGCTTACTTGGGTAGTATTAAATTGGTAGAAGCGTATATGTATTATCAAAATAAACATATTTGTAATTAGATGACGGAATGTAGTTATTGTTCTATATTGTTTTACATTAAGTCAATATTTTGATTTATATTATGTTGTTACACTATTTAAAGAATCTAAGAGATTTTGAAATAAAAATCAATCTTCAATTTATATTAGTATATATGTGATTATTGATAAATGTAATTTTCTATGTATCTACAATTAATGCAGGTAATTATATTGATCAATATTGATCAAGATTCATACTTCGCAACACCTTTAAGGTTTAAAAATCAAAAATTTAGCTTCAATAATTATCACAAGTATCATGTACCTACTTATATAATGTATTCGTTAAATTGAATCTTAATTTTATGTAATATAAAATTTAATAATAAAACGGTTTGGTAAACTGATTTTTGAGGGAGTCCTATTAAAACTATTAATAGGTGAATAATGTTAAAAAATTATAAAAATAAATAAAGCACATACAATTTAAACAGTACTAAAAAGAATGAGGAAAATTCTTCTTACATCTAAAAACAATTAAGCTCCTCAAAAATCACTGACAAATATAATTTTGTAGCTAATAACAGTATTAACACAGTAACACACTAATATTACCAAATTTTGCAATTTACTAATTATATAATCCAATAAATAACATAGTTATAGTATTTTCGATAATATAATGTACAATATATAACTATTTTGTATTAATTCACCTCCAATGGCATAACAAAAAATTTCATTTGGGAAAAAGAGCAATTAAATTTATTTATACATTTTTAACCCAATTTTAAATTGCGATAAACATCAATATGTTTGTTAGCAATAGACTCCTTGGCCCCTATCCATTGACAATGCTCTCATTTCCCCTTTCTTTTTGGCATCATAAGAAAGCTTGACAAACCACAGGTTATGTATGATAGTCTATTTAATAGAGATAGATTACTCTATAGTCTATAGCCAAATACTTTGATTAAATTTAATTCAAAAGGATATTACAGAAACTAGAATTATTACTAAAACAGTTTTTTTTTTTTAAATTAATAACATGTCTATGGGCACCCAATCCTTTCTATGTATTAAGTACTTTATTATATAGACATGAAGGTATGCATTATGCATTTTTAAACATGTATTATGCGATGTATATACAGGCCCATACTGGCAATTATTTTAGGGCGATTGCAAAAACATTTAATAGAGTTGATTTTTTTTTTATTTAACCTTATAGTCTATAACTAACAAGTAAAGGTTCATTAGGTGTCGAGTGGGGCACTGTAATGTAAAGTGTTATATGTAAATTGTAAAGTATTTGTAATATCTTTGCACAAGAAAAACAATTCTGAGTGGAGACGGTCTGTCAGTCAGCTTATTAATGTAATAAGAATAATTAATATTAAGTCTTAAGCCAAAGTGACTGTATGAACTATTTATTAGAAAACTTGTTTTATATTTTCAATCCTTTGCTATAAAAACCGAAATTTTGATGAAGTTTAACAAATTCTGAACTTAAAATACTTAAAATTATAAAAATCGTGCCTTTGTGACAACTCTGACCGGGTGCACATGTAGACCACTGACCAGTATTATAGGCCTGGTGAAAAATAAATTAAAAAGTGATAACATTTTTCCAATCACTTTATATAAGTACAAACAACAAGCTGTTTACATCAAAAAATATTTTATATATATAACAATAATAATACATTTTAAAATATTGCTATCGACGATCAATGACGTGTAACCTAACCGTGTAACTATCAATTTTATATGGTTTAACGTATGTTATATTTATTAATTATACAACACATAATTGATAATACATACTATCAATATCATGCTTAGTGCTTACATATTTCATAGGGAACAGGGAACGTATTAGTGTATTACCAGCAAGGTGGCCATTTAAAACTTTAAATTTTAACTGTTAAGTATTTACAGAAAAAAATTAATTTCTTTCAAACCTTAATGTAAACGTAATTTTTATGAGTGGGGGCGCATTAAGCATTGTAATTTTCATATAGGGTGCGCATCGTGAATCTGTCCTGTTGGCCTGATTATGCAGCTAAGATTATTAAGGAAAAAACAGTATATACTACAAGAAAAGTAAAAGTATGGTATTAATAACTATTTAAAATACTTAAATTTGTTAGACCTTTTTTTTTATAGTACCCATGTAAATATGCATTATTGTTAAAAGCAAAGTAATATGGCAAATTGGCAAATTGGCAAACCAGACACAGATCCAACACATATTTATTATTGATGATGAAGCGCATCATGATGAGTTAGATTGTATAAACATATTTGTAGTTCTTACATAAAATTATTTGTTCTCACTATATTAAAACTAATATACTAAATTAGTAAATATATAGTAGTATAATATAGTAGGTAATATAGTAGTAAAGTCTACAGTGTCTATTCTCTACATTTTAGATATATTTTAGTGCCTAAAGTTCTATGCTATTTTCTAATGGTCGATAACTTATAAATAATCATAAACAAATGTATACATATAAATTAAGATGAACTATTAATAATCTCTCAATAAGCTCTACTGTATGAAGATGACAACAAAGCCAGAATGTTCTGATTTTAAAAATTATTTACTAAGAGTTCTGTTATAGTGAGACTTGAATAATCTATTGATGGTTTCCACTGATTTTCTATTAACTTACTTTTGTTGAAATCATCAATTTTTGATTTGGAACTTAATACAATTCTTACAGCTATGATTATGTATATTCTTTACTATCCTAACTTGTGATTTGATACAACAAAAAATATATTTTGAGTGTCATAGGCGGCATCTAGGAGGGGCATGAGGGTGCAGTTGCACCCACGACAATTTTTCTGAGGGGGCAAAAGTATCATTTTGCACCTACACATAGACAATCACAACAGTAAAAAATATTTTAATTATTTTATTGTTAACAATTATACTGATATAATGTAATTTTGATAATAAAAAATAACCATGGATCATTTCATTATTTTGTATCTGATTACTCAATTAATTGTACGGACTAAAATCTAAGTCCGTGATTAAATGTTAAAATAATAATAATAATAATTAACTAATGCAGGAAGCTAATTCGTCACTAAATAGCGATATGCCGATATGGTTCAAAATAGATCATATTGTTTATGTCAAAATAAAAAATTGTTTTTTAATAATATTCTTACATATTCATGCACATATTTGAAATACAGAGACCCAATTAATAGTTATTAATAAAGAAATTTTTTTCTATCTACATTTGTTGTAGCAATAGTTATATATTAGGGGGTACTGGGGGGCAACTTCCCTATGGATTTGTGAATGTTATTACCATAAACGTTTGCACCCACATAGGTTTCTACCAAGTGCCGCCTATGTTGAGTGTGATCAGTGTCCAGAATTTTTATTGCTTATTTGGGTGTAAGAAGATTATAAGCACCAGGTTTTCTATAATTTCAACTTTGCTGAAATTCATATAATCATTAAACGCATAATTTTATATTTTAAGAACATAGGTATAGTATATTATATTTGGTTTTATGATATTATTTTGACATTTACATAATAAATACTAATGATTGATACATTTTAAAATAGCTGTTCAGTTAAAATATGAAATAACAACACAGGTTTTTTAAGTTCTTGAACGGTATATGGCTTGATTTTGTAGACATGAGCTTTGATATAACCCCAAACAAAAAAATCTACTGAATATTTAACCCTAGATGAAGGAATTATGATATCCAGAATTGTTAACGAAACGCTCAAGGGTATTCTAAATAGATATGCGTAGACTTCTGTTTCAGTTGTGGCTTTAATTGTTTTTACAACCCACCCACTAACAAAACCCCTCTTAAAAAAAAAAAAATAAATAAAATAGACATACAAAACATGATAGATATAGCACTAGTCATGACAATTGTTATGATAAAATTTATAAAAATAAATTTCTGATTTTCCAAAAAAGCGAGTGGGCTCTTGTTACCTAAGTGCATGGTACCTACCTAAAATAATTACCAGCATCATGTGTGTACATTATGGATATATTCCTATAAGCTACACCAGTGTGCACACCTATGGTAATCCATTAAGAAGGCTGAATTTGAATTGTCCATAAATGATAAACAATTTAGTAACTAGGATTGAAGCTTGCCAATGTAACCGAGGTGAACATATTTTTATGTCTGAAGTCATACTTTTTTCTCACAAAGTAATAACAAGATTAAATCTGGAGTTCTTAATGAAATAAGTTTTACCTATATGATATATAAACTATATTTATAACTGCTTAATTTAATTTATTAAATTTTTTTATTTTTATTTTTTTATTAAGAATCGGCCATTGGGAACAACTTATTAAATTATTAATTTACCTATTAAAACCATTATTTTCTATTCAACAATCATTTATTAAATTTTAAATAAGGTACCTATAGTATTTAGATACTACTCTTTAATATTATCCTTAATTTAATAATGATAAGTTGGTGATTATTAGTAGTTTATAAATATGAATAATTTACCTGAAAAAGCAAACTTAGTGTTAATTTCAAAAACAATATCACACAATAGAATGATAATAGTTTGATTTTAAATACTTTACACTTCACAGTTAATCACTATTGTAAAAAAGTAAAATCAATAGAAAAATTAATAAATATTAGTATGTTAACGAATATTTTTTTTTTAAATTTCTCTTTCTTGTATTTTGTACTATGCCTTTGATAAACCCGAAACTAGGTATAATATTATGGTAAGAAATATAAGTAATAGAAAAAAAGATCAAAAATTAAAAAATAATAATATTATCGTAGTGTACAGACATCAGACCACAGAACAATATCAGACTTATATTTTATATCATGTAATAAATATTATATACAGTCTTATCGTCTTATCAACAATTTTAGTACAATCATAGCACGGATAATGATAATATCCGCAGGCATGATTTCTAAAACTATTAGTTGTGAGTAGAGTGGTTCTGATTGGTCCATATTTTCGTGGCGGCAAAACTTTTTTTTTTAGGGTATTTTAATACTTTTATTTAATAATATCACAATAATATCTACCTACATGACAGTTGCGTGCATTTTAAATTTGTTGTTTGATATTGTAATATACCTTCTGAATTAATAGGTTGATGATATCATAATAGTTAAATACACAGTATTAGATACTATACACAATGTGCATCAACTTTGAGTTATATAATTATTTATGTTTTACTTAATCACAATATTATTATGTACGTTTTGCATCACGACGGCCAGGATCTCTTTATGGAATCGTTGTAAAAACAAATACAAAAAATAACGTTTCATAATTTATAATGATGGTTGTCTTGATAATAATCTTATCTTTAAATTTTATTAGAGGTCAATTTACTCTAAATTTTAAACTAACATAGCTACAATAGTGTTTTGCTGATTGTAAAAGTTGCTAGGTTACTCAGTTTTAAGACGGAGACAACAAAATAAGCAGGTATCACGTACTCTTAAAAATTTTGAATTTCTGAGGATACGACAAAACAGTAGATACCATGGTATTGCTATGTCATCGGTGAACGCGGTAAATTTTTAAAACCTCTAAAACTTTATAAATATCTAAAATAATTTACCTAAAAAGTATAAATCTGTGGCATAGCCAATTTAATATAATATTCTGTTCGGGTAAATAAATAATATCATAAAAATCAGTATTCAGTATACTAAAATCTATATCAAAGCGGCGAAGATGATGCGTTTAGCGTTCGTAACCGTACAAACAGAAGTTTCACTTGAAGAATCAATGTTTTGTAAGTTTTTTTTAATACTCTTTTGTTGCAAATATATTAATATAAATATTTCGAAACGGACGAGCGTCTTATTGGCGACCTTATATGCAGTAAATACTTATAAATACCGAAGCGCGCAATACATAAAATGCACGAAGCAACCATCATATATAGCAGCTCGGCGATTGTCAAACTATTTTTTACTCACTATTTGTACGCCGTATACCACTCATAGAATGATTTTTGTAAATAGTAATATAAACGGTACACCACACACCCCCTTATGCTGAGTAAAATTCAACAATTATTATTTATATTTCACACGTACATTTTATTAAAAACAGAAAGTTTTCATATTACTTCCCCAAACCAAAAAAAATATGCTTAAATAGGTATAGATAAATCGTATACTCATGAAATATTGTAGATTTTACTATTCATGAACTTGTGGTCTTGTGGACTATAGTTTGTAGTGTTTGTACGGTTCAGTTTGGCATGCGACAACCATTTATTGTTTTATTGTTATTTACTTATTGCAGTTATTCAGTTATACCTTATTATCGGTGACTGGCGACTGGCGTATAGAAAATAGTTCGTTGTCTGGATTTGGACCAAGACTTGTTCCGATGTCATGGCTTATGGTTTTTGTATTAGTTTTTCATATATTTTGCATTCTACGAAGATGTGTTGTGTTTGATTGTGATCATGGTGGCACATGTTTGTGGCACATGCATATTGTTTGTTTTTGCCATAGTTTATTTATTATAATAAATATTAATTGTTAATTTCGTGTTCGGAGAGAATGTTTGACTTGGAATTTTATAAAAATAACTGGTGTCTGAAATGGTCGGTACGGAAATTTAATGCATACACTGTATAGATAACTTTAAAAATCAGTACCTAATCAGTAATCACGTTTATTTTAGTCAACATTTTTATTCAATAGTTTATAAAAAAATTATTTTAGTAAAAATATGCATGCGCTTCTAAAATTCAAACACCATCTTAATCGGTAATCAAATAAATAAATTTAAAAAATTTATAATTAAAATAATATCTATTAGGTACTTTATAAGTATATTGCTATACATTATTTAGGCATAGTTATCACATTTCATTATTTCAATGAACAAAATTGTTTAAACGGACATCGTTGATAATAAAAGTTGTATAGTAATATATATCTAATTGATTTAGTATAATATACATAATCTATGGCGATTGCCAAAGTCGTTGCGGAGACACAGTCGATTAAAGATTCTAACATTTCAATTAGATGGCAAAGCAGACATGAACGAAAAACATCCTACTTTCCGTATAATTTTTTTTTTCATAAATCACATTATTATTCAACTTCTGCATATTTAATAGCTGTTAATATTGTAATAGCACAATAACACAATTAATTAAAACTCATGGTTGTTATTAAGGTTTTGTATATTATTAATTATCAGAAAATGATTTATACTTTATAGGATAAATTATATTAGATATTTATTATGATATATAATATTATACAATATGCATTCAAAATGCATTCAAAATATATTATACAATAAGCCAAAACTCACATAAGTTAATTTATTACCTACTTATACTTTATATTTATAATTCATATTGCTTAAAAGTTTAAAAACAATCTAAAGTTGAATTAAATTTTTACAACTTTATAGGTAAACAATTTTATAATTATTTCATATATAACGTAATATATTATGCACCAAACTTTATAATTTTTTGGAATTGCATTTATCATTTATTTTCCAAAACACAATACATCAAAAATTAATAAATAATAAATGGGAATAATATTTTTAAATTATTGAAATAAAATTAATAAACAAACTATAATAAGCAATAATAATAATTAAGCTTTGTATAAAAAATTATTAAAGTAAAAATGGACCGGTATCAGAGTTCTAGTAGCCAATAGTTAGGTAACTTATCGTTTGTAAATGTTTTATATTTATATTCATATAAAATTAATAAGTTCTTGAATGAAATATTTAAAACATAAATTAACACATAATAACTATAGGTAGGTAGATAGATAAAAATTAAACATTAAACTATATATTATCTGTAGACTGTAATGGTTAAAAATAAAAGAGGTCATAAAATATTGTTAAACATTTTATTGAAATTTCAGAGATTCGTCAGTGAAAATTTGCCAATTAAATATCATATTCAGCTGTGTGGCGTGTGTGAAATGTGTTAACAATGTTTCGAAGATGAACTTTTATAGTAGATATTGATTCAGATATGAGGTAAGTAGTTTTATATTTTTCAGTAGGTTTCTTTCTATATTGTTATTTTATAATTGATCTGGGGATAAATTGCCTGCAATCTTTAAGTTAATTATTTTGTAATCACTGGTATAACACTATTTTGGTTATCAATAAAATCATGATAAAAATTAGGAATTTGGTCAAGTATTACGTAATATTAAAAAAAAAAAAATTTTTTCCCCTCAATAATATTTAAATATTTTCACCAATTATCAGGTACGATGATCTGTAGCCTGTAGGTACTATCGTGACTAGGGTTGTGAGAGTGGTGAGAGAGAGAGAGGGGGTAGAGAAGGATAG